GATAAAATATACATTACCCAGTTAAGTTTTAATTTAAGAAGAATAACAAATAGTTTTCCTAGTATATGTATATCTCAAAGATTGCATGGGGCATACTTATACTAAAATTTATGTTGTTTGCTGAAATTCAAATCTAATTGAGTATCCTGTATTTTATGCTAAGTAAGGCCTCCAAATTGACCTCCTTCTTGGCAGCCACCTTGGAAAGAGGTGTCATCTTGGGCAAGGTGTTTCTCCTCAGTGGAGTGATGTTGGTTTCTGAAAAACCACAGTAGGTGTCACCTGATCTCCCTCTTGAAATGTGTTGCTTTCCTGTTTAGCAAGGATGGCTTATTTGCCTTGTTCAATGCTTGAACTGTTGTGTGAGCATATTTTTTCTTTTTCTTTAAGAAAAGATAGAATTAGGCAACAATGCTTGTACTATACAATGCAAGTTCCCGTTTTCCAGCTTATTCAATTTTTAAAAACTTTTCATTCTGAATACTTTTATTTTTTTTTAAAATATATTTTATTGATTTTTTACAGAGAGAAAGGGAGAGAGATAGAGAGTCAGAAACATCGATGAGAGAGAAACATCGATCAGCCGCCTCCTGCACATCCCCTACTGGGGATGTGCCCGCAACCCAGGTACATGCCCTTGACCGGAATCGAACCTGGGACCCCTCAGTCCGCAGGCCGAGGCTCTATCCACTGAGCCAAACCGGTTTCGGCAATTCTGAATACTTTTAAACATATACAAAAGTGAAGAATCCTATATAATAAAAGGCTAATATGCAAATTGTCTCCATGACCCAGAGTTCGACCAGGGGGCGGGCCGGCTGGCCAACTGCCCATGGCCCCTCCCCCAGCCAGCCCAGTGGGATCAGCCCGATCCGGGCGGGCTGGCTGGACCTCACCCATGCACGAATGTGTGCACTGGGCCTCTAGTATAGTATAATAAACCCCAGCTTTCCATAACTCATTTTTATCAATGAGCAACTGATAGGCAACCTTTTTTCATCTATATCTTGACTTACTCCCATTTTATTTTGAAACCAACTCTAGACATCATATATTTCATTTGTATGCATCTGAAAAAGTCACCCCCCAGCCCCCAGGTAAAGTCATTGGTGTCTAATAGTGTTGTTGTTTTTTTTTTAATAACTTAGAAAATGACTCTTGGCTTCCCTTGCTACCTCTGGTTTCTTGGTAAGATCCAAATCGCAAATCAGGTCCCCGTGCTCAACATTATGGTAAATTTTTAGGTATTTAAATGGCTGGCGAGTTAATGACATGAGCAATCAAAGTTGCTATTAGCTTTTGATTTATGAAGCCACATGTTCAGCTTGTATGTCGGATGTCCTTAACATCAGGCATGGTGGGTTCATTCATGTGTCTCTGCCCAGTGTTCTTCAGTCATGACCGCACTCAACAGATGGGGAATTTCATGGCCACAATGGAATTGTTTATCCTCTCATTGTTCCTATGTCAGCAATCAAACTAACTCCATTACCCACCAATAAAAAGATCAGCCTCCTGCCAGTTCAATGGAAGCAGTTGAAGCGATGTTGAGGGGATTTTAAGTTTTAGAGGGGATAACAAAGAAATAAGAAGCCACACAAAAATTAAGACCAGAGAATTTGAGTCTCTCATTTTAAAGCTGAAGGTTTTAAGGGAGTTATTAGGGAAGGCCTAGACATTCAATCTTTTCTCTAACATAAAATACACTCTAAAAACCCCTGATTATAAATATTGCATAGCTTTTTTGTGTGTGTGTTGATGGCTTTATTATTTCATTTTAAAGATGAAAAGCGCTCAAACTGGGCTTTGAAGAAGGAAATGTCAGATTCATAATGGAAAAGCTGCTAAGATGTTAATACATTACTACTGGTAGGAAGATTTTCTTTTGTATGGATAAACAGTGTCTGCTTTTTATAAAGTTGTCCCTCATTGGCTCAGCTAGGGGGTTCTCTCTGCATTGATCTGTAAGAGGAAGCTCCTAAGTTCTGTGAACCACCAGGCTGCCCTCCCAACTTTCTTAATGGTCCAGGACTTTAAAAAGTAGATCCTAGAACACTTTTTGCTTTTTGCCAGGTTGTCCGTATATCAGGATATAACAAGTAAGGGATGTTAGTTCTGATATTCATTGGTTATAACTAAGGATCCAGGGATGCAGGAGTGCATTTATTCACTCATAAAGTTTGAGAACTTGGCCAATGAAAAATCAGATTGAACAGGAAAAAAATCAGAATGGTTGTTTCATTTTCTCCTTTCCTTTCTATCCTGCCACCTTCTGGATAACTTGCAGCAGCTTCTATATCAGCACTTGCTGCTTCATCTTGCACTTTAATACATATATATATATATATATATATATATATATATATATATATATATAATTTCAGAGAGGAAAGGAGATGGAGAGAGAGATAGAAACATCAGTGATCAGAGAGAATCATTGATCGGCTGCCTCACAACCCCGGCATGTGCCCTGGAATTGAACCATAACTTCCTGTTTCATAGATCAACGCTCAACCATCGAGCCATACTGCATGGGCTCACCTTGCACTTTTATGGAGACTGTTTTTTTCCTTAAACATCATGAACCAACCTCTGCTAGCTTCAAACTTTTCTTCTGCAGCTTCCCCACCATCCCAGCCTTCATAGTACTGAAGAGAATTAGGGCCTTGATCTGGATTAGGGTTTGGCTTAAGGGAATATTATGGCTGGTTCCATCTATCCAAACTACTAAAACTTTCTCCATATCAGCAATAAGGCTCTTTCACTTTCTTATCATTTATGTGGTCACTGGAGTAGCACTTTTACGTAATTTCCTTCAAGAACTTTTTCTTTGCTTTCACAACTTGGCTAACTGGCACAAGAGGCCTGCCTAGCTCTTAGCCTATCTCAGCTTCCAACATGCCTTCTTCACTAAGCTTAATCATTTCTAGCTTTTGATTGAAAGTGAGAGACATGCAACTCTTGCTTTCACTTGAACACTTAGAGGCTGTTGTAGGCTTATTAATTGGCCTAATTTCAATATTGTGTCTCAGGGAATACGGAGGCCTGAGGAGAGGGAAAAAGATGGGGGGATTGGCCAGTCAATGGAGAAGTCAGACACACAACATTTATTAAGTTCTCCATCTTTATGGCATGGTTCATGGCACCCCAAAATAATTACAACAGTAACATCGAAGATCACTGATCACAGATCACAAAAAATACAATAATGAAAACGTTTGAAATATTGTGAGAATTACCAAAATGTGACAAAGAGATATGAAGTTAGCAAATGCTGTTGGAAAAAATGGTGCCACTAGACTTGCTCAACCCAGGGGTGCCACAAACCTTCAGTGTGTCAAACTGAAGTGCAATAAAGCAAAGTGCAATAAAATGAGGTATGCCTGTATTATTATTGTCTTTAGTTTATTATTGCCAGCTGTAATAGTATTCTACTAAATAGATGTCTGTGTTTCATAAGAGTTGATTTTTTTTTTCCTTAAAGAGAGGAAGGGAGAGAGAGATATGGAAACTGACTGGTCATGCCCCACATGGCCCCCACTGGGGATCAGCCCGCAACCCAGGCCTGTGCCCTGAGCCAGTGACCTCCCAGTGCACAGGTTGACACTCAACTGAGCCACACCGGACAGGCAAGAGTTGATATTTTTAAGTGTCAATAGTTTGGTTAAAAATACTACTAAATGTCATGTTCCTGTAATTATTCTCTAGCCCCCTCCAAAACACCCCTGCCTGCAGAACCCCAATTCTCCTCCTCTCCCCAAATCAATGTTTGGGGAACTACTTTTTAAGGTACTGAGTTTATTGTAGTTGTTAAGTGAGATGTAAAAAATGAAAGAAACTAGCCTGTTCTTACTCAGGTTGTCACTCCAGCCTATTTTTACTATTTGGACATCTCTTCAATTATATACTACTAGAGGTCCAATGCACAAAATTCGTGCAAGAGTAGGCCTTCCTTCCCCCGGCTGCTGGCACTGGCTTCCCTCTGGCACCAGGGACCCGGGCTTCCCTCATAGCCCCAGCTTCATCTGGAAGGACGGAAGGACAGAAGGATGTCTGGAAGGATGTCTGGTCTAATGAGCATATTATGCTTTTATTTTTATAGATTTTACAATTATTCTTTTTTTCATATGCAATGCTTAGTATAAAGTTCAGATTGGTCCCCAGTAAATGTTGCCAAAGCCACCATGGGACCACTGTGCACAGCTGCAAAGCTTTGAGAGATTTTGGATTAGAGAGCAACTTGGATCCTTGGAAGGGATTTTGTTGGGGGGCGGGGGGGAGGGGGGGAAGGGTTGTTTGGTGTCACTCACCTCCCTCCCAAGTGCAGCAAAGCTTTCACTCACAGGTGCAAATGATTCTAGAACATCCTTAGAGAAAAGGACACTTATATTTTCATGTGGCTTCCTTGGGTCTTTTTTCTTGGCCAGCAATATTGAGGACCATGAATGTAATAACACAGATCATAGACTTAGGGGCCCAAAGAGGGTCCTAGAAAGAAAAAAAAAAGTAAGTGACCAAGAAAAATAGACTTAGTGATCTATCTATAGTTTCACTTGAGTGAGTAATATAACACTAAAGTAAGCTTCATAATTTTATTTGAAAATTTTAATTTGTTCATGTGAATTGTTAAACTATGTTGACATAACAGAAAAACCACAGCTGAAATGTGCAGGTCTACCTGGTCCTTTGTGAACTTTGTTTCATTACTTGTTGCTGATTTGTTCATTTAAAGTTTTATTTTAAATTACAGTTTACAATCAATATTATTTTATATTAGTTTCAGGTGTTTAGCTTAATGGTTAGACAATTATATATTTTATAAAGTGTTCTCCCTGATATTTCAAGTGCCCACTTCGCACCATACATAGTTATTATAATATTATTGATTATACTGCCTATTCTGTACACTACTATTGGTTTTGAAGAGAAGTAAGTTTGAAGGATAGGTAAGCAGCATTTAAAATAATAGTGAGATGTATATAATTTAACAACATAAATCAAGAGCCATAAAAATGTCCATACTCTACTGTAAAATTTCATTTGGGGATGAATTAGCCTCAGAAATTAATTTAGAGTCTGAAAAAATCTGTATACACAATATTCATTGCTATGGTATTGGGAGGGTAAAATTTGGAAGCAATCTTGAAGCCCTATAAGAATAAATTAAATTCTTGTTCAATAAACTAGCATGCACCTTTTAAATGAATGGTTATGAAGATTATATGGCAACATAGAAAATACTGAAAATGTTAGGCCTTAAGAGCTAGATGGAATGAAAAAGATGGAAAGGAAATATATCAAATGATAACAGCTGTGTTTGGATAATGGCATGATGGTAGTTTTTTTTTCTCATTTTCGCTTGTGATTATTTTAATTAGTTTCCAATTTCATAAATTGGAAAATCAAGTAAAAGCACCAGAATGCAAAAGCTTAATATTTAAAACCAGAATGAATAAGATGAGGTTATTTTAAAATTAGCTGTCCTCCTCATAGCTTCCCGAGGGATTTCACATGGGACAAAATCACCAACAGGATTGCAATTTGTGAGGCTTATACATTTATTTATTCTGAGAGTTGGTGGGGTGGTTGGAAAGACAGTGGAATAATAGCATGAGAAAGTAGACCCTCCTACCCCCAGCTGCCGGTCATTCAGCCTAGGGCTTCAAGAACCAATTTCTGCTCAAAGGGTGGCTTTTCCTGGTGCAGGCCATTGTGATGGTGATGCTGGGATGTGGCCTGGCCTCCTCAGCAGGTCTCAGGAGATCATGCATTTAATGGAGGAGCCCCAGCCCAGGCAGCTGTCTCAGACTGGGGTTGCTGGTCATCAGAGACACGGCGGCCTGTGCGGTATTGACCCAGAGGTGAGCAGTCCCCTCTCTCATACCCACTCCCCAGAGGCAACAGTCCCTCATTAGGGTACAGTTTCTAATCCAAACAACCATTAATCTTTCTCAGGGTTAAAAGGCCAGAAAAGCAATTTTTTCTTGCTCTCTATTTTGATACTGTACCTGTCTGGATTTTACAAGAGCAGACTTAGTTCATTGACCACTGAAAACACCCCACAGCTGTGTCCACAGCTACACAAACAATGCCAAGCCCAACACAGCACTCCCTATGCATAGAGAAGGGACAGGAGTGCAAAACCAGTCAGTTATTTATTGTGGCACTTGACAAAAACTTTAGAAACATGACTCATTTGAAACAGGTATTTTGTATCATGAAATAAATTTGGATGTGCATGTATTTTAAGTGAAAATGCCACCATAGAGGATAGTTTTATAAAAGTAGTATTTCACAAACTTTTGAATACTGTTTTTTTAATGTTCCTTGCCCTTGCAAGTAAATTAACCCATATAAGTGGAGCTGTGAGACCTGAGGACTTTTTGATTTTTGAAAATAAAATAAAAAGGATTTTATTTAGAAAAATGCACTCAATTGTCTCAGAAACATCAAAGTGTTCGGTTTATGGAAATGGCCTTAATCTCCTACCTCATACTCTGTTAATAGCTGGTAAGTCAAGAAACATACCTTTTTCATATACTTAAATTGTGAGGGCCAAAAGTGATCGGTATTAAGATAAAAAATATGAAGGCTTCCTAAGTCTGTTTCTTCATGCTTGACCTTTAAATCCTTCCTTTAGAGTCATCATCAATATGAATAACACACACTCCTCCTGGTGAGTCACATTTAGACATCTGGCTACCGGTAGTAAAGGCATCGAACACTTAAGAGAGATAGAAAATGCATTTTTATATCTCAAATTATTTTATAATAAACATTATTTAAATGTTATTTTCAAAATCTCAAGGAAATAAAGATCTTTATAGAGATAAAGTGGGTCTGGCAAGGTTGAATGGAACAATGATGCCCTGATGTGATTAAATAAAAAGACTTTACTTAGGTGATTAAAACTTTAATTCAATTTAAAACGTGAATAATTCCACATGTACACTGAGATCTAGACCCCAAAGCTTGAGCAGACAGACCTCAGTGTGGGAACCCTTGTGGGGAAAAATGAGCCGTAGAAGTTTCTGCAGGTCGGGAATAACAGGGAGGCAGACCATCACGCTCCTTAGATTCCATATGCAAGGCTACCATCTGCAAACTACAAAACTGCTCGCTCTTGGATTAACTTATTCTGAGCACCAGGAACATTTTTCCAAAGAGGGAATTACCATGTAAAATGTTAGTGTTTTCTAATTTGAAAAGTTATGTGCACCCCTATGTTCATTGCAGGATTATTTACAATAGCTAAGATATGAAAACTTTTAAAGGTCCTTTGACGGATGAATGGGTAAAGAAGATTTGGTATGTATTTACAATGGAATACTACTGAGCCATAAAAAAGTTGAAATATTGCCACATGCAACAACATGGATGCTAAGTGAAATATGTCAGCTGGAAAAGGACAAAAACAATATGATTTCATTCATACGGGGAATATAAAACAACAAACAAACAAACCAAAACAAGACAAAAAACAAATTCATGGATATAGACTACAGATTGGTGGTTACTAGAGGGAAAAATGGAGGAGAGCAAAATTAAAGCAGTGCAAATGCCTGGTGACAGATGGAAACTAGACTTTGGGTAGCGAGCAAGCTATAGTGTACACAGATATATAATTGTAACGCTGTACACCGGAAACTTATGTAATGTTACTGACCAATGCTCCCTCAATTAAAAAAAAGTTAGCGTTTTTCTCAAAAGAACATTTTCTTTGGCAGAAGATCAGTCTCTAATATTTTATCCCTTTGTATTTGTTTTTACCTTTTAAATATTAGTTACTAGTATTTTTATAAAACAAGATGAATCTGACCTAACACAGGAACATGGTATTTTTCTTTCTTTTCTCCCTCCTCCTTTAAAATTACTTCTTTGCTCGTTGTAACAAATCCAAACAATATAGACATTTATAAAATAAAAAGTGAAAGTCTAAAATATAAAGTATTTTCTCTTAAGTCTCTATACCTCAAATTCCATTTCTCCAGTGATAACTTTTAATATTTTGATGTGCATCCTTCTTTTCTATGTATATATAAACATATATTTACATGTAATTAAAAACATAAAAATGAAACCATACTAATATATAATTGTTCAGCAACTTACTTTTTTCCAACTTAGCAGTATATCATGAACATATTTCCAATCATTTTACTTCATTCTTATTAATAACACAATAGCATTCTATTATTTAATATACTGTAATTTATTTACCAATATATTATTAATGAATATTTAGGTTTTTTTCAAATTTTTTGTTAGAAAAAAATGCTGCCAGAAACATTTTTGCCATATTTTTTTACCCATTCATGCTAGTACTTTTATAGTATAAATTTCTAGATGTGGATTACTGCACATAGGACAGGTACATTGATATTTTTGATACTGAGTTTTTGCCCAATTGATACATGAAGCAGGGACAGTCTTCAGAATATAGGGAAGGAACACAAACCAGGGTCCAATACTTTTGGGCGTTTGTCTAACCTGTATTATGGAAGCAGCTTGACTTTTGAGCATCATGGAATCTTCTGCAGGATAAATTTATATCACATTCAAACTGGTAACAGGTAAGTTATGTGTGGAGCTCTGACTAGATCAACTTCTGATTTCAGAACTATCACAGCCAATTCTTTCAGTGAAAATGAAAATTAATACAGTTTCATTGAAGCTTCAAATAGGGCAGACAGATCCTCTTCTGACTGAGGGCGTGGTGCAAGTTTGGTGACCCTTTCCTGAAAAGGTAAACAAAAGGAGTTACTCAGAGCTTTGAAAAGGCAGTTTGTAAAAGCTACTAGGTTATGCAAATTAAGTTGGACAAAAGAAACAATGACTTTATAATAGTTCTATCTTTAAAAGTCATATTTCTTTTTAAAAAAATATATTTTATTGATTTTTTACAGAGAGGAAGGGAGAGAGATAGAGAGTTAGAAACATTGATGAGAGAGAAACATCAATCAGCTGCCTCCTGCACACCCCCTACTGGGGATGTGCCCACAACCAAGGTACATGTCCTTTACCAGAATCGAACCTGGGACCCTTTAGTCCGCAGACTGAAGCTCTATCCACTGAGCCAAACCGGTTAGGGCAAAAGTCATATTTCTTGTTTGCTTCATACTAGTTGACTCCCAACTCAAAAGTTTATCAAGTGACGCCTCTTTCCCACAAAGCTTTCTCATTTTATTTTTCAATTACAGTTCACATTCAATATTATTTTGTATTAGTTTCATGTACAGCATAGTGGTTAGAAAACCATATACTTTTTAAAAAATATATTTTATTGATTTTTCACAGAGAGGAAGGGAGAGGGATAGAGAGCCAGAAACATCGATGAGAGAGAAACACAGATCAGCTGCCTCCTGCACACTCCCTACTGGGAATGTGCCCGCAACCAAGGTACATGCCCCTGACCGGAATCGAACCTGGGACCCTTCAGTCCGCAGGCCGACGCTCTGTCCACTGAGCCAAACCGGTTAGCAGGGGTGGGCAAACTTTTTGACTCGAGGGCCAAAATGGGTTCTTAAACTGGACCGGAGGGCCGGAACAAAAGCATGGATGGAGTGTTTGTGTGAACTAATATAAATTCAAAGTAAACATCATTACATAAAAGGGTACGGTCTTTTTTTTTTTTAGTTTTATTCATTTCAAACGGGCCGGATCTGGCCCGCGGGCCGTAGTTTGCCCACGGCTGGGTTAGGGCAACCATATACTTTTCAAAGTGATCCTCCAACATTCCAAGTATCCACCTGGCACCACACATGGTTGTTACAATACTATTGACTAGATTCCCTGTGCTATACAGCTTTCAAATGCCTATGCCTTGCCTAATTGTCCTTGCCTTATGCCCTGCCAATAGTCTTCTGCTCAAATGTACAGAACTAAACCAACCTCAGGAAAAACACCTCCTATAATGACCAAACCGTGTTGGTCAGCAACCTTGGCCAGTTCTCCGGGTGCGGGTCCCAGGCACAGCAAAGAAAAGAGAACTAGGTCATCCCTGACTTCAAAGACTGTATATTTTGCAACTTGGACTTCAGGTATAGTCAAAAGAACTTCATTAGGACATGATTTTCAGGCTATGGGCAACAAGGGACTTCTTTTTAAATATTAACTAAGGTTTTCTCTCTACTTTTGCAAACAAATTTGGTGACTTGCTTAATTTTTCCATTGATTACTGAGTCAAGTCGGCAGAGCTAGCCAGCACATACTTTTGCTATTTATACTCTCACCGGTGGCTCCTTGATTTCTCTGGGACAGGATATTAAGAGATATTATAACGACTACTCTGTGTCCAAATTTCTGGGTCTAAATAAAATTTAAAAATGAATCAGTTTGGGTCTCTCGGTCTGTTTTCTTGTGCTAAGCACTTGTTTGGGAGCACACCTGGTGGAAGAGGGAAGCTCCGTGAGGGCAGGGCTGGGTTCACTCCATGCCCAGCACCTCCCAGAGTGCTTAGCACAGAGGAAATAGGTCCTCAACAGTTATTTGTTGAATTAATGAAGACGGGGTGGGAGGGGGGGAAGGGGAGGAGGGGACCTTGGCATCTCAAAATTCACATACAAGATAGAAGAACCTTGCCTCCCTGCCTCCCATTTTCATCATCTCAGAAATGATACCCAGTTATGAAGGCAAAAACCTAGGCGCCATCTTTGATTCTTCTTTCCCTTCCCTATGTGTTAAATCCATCAGCAAGTCTGTCGGATCAACCTGCAAAATAAATCCCAAATCCAACCGCTTCTCACCTCCCATTCCACCACAGTCCAAGTCTAAGTCACCTTCACTCCTCTGTTCTACTTGAAAGGCCTCTTTTCTTTTTAATTTAATAAAAATGTTTTACCTTTTGCTCCACTCTCACCCCCTAGAGAGAGGCAAATGGCTAATGGCAGCATTTCTTCCTGTGCCCCCTCCCCTCCCATCCCTCCCTTTCCCCCCACTGTTATAAATCTGATCTACCATTCCCTTGCTTAATGCTCTCCAATGACTTCCCATTGCAATTAGAACAAAACCATAGCCTTTAATGCCACCTTATCTGGCCCTGGTTTTCACTCCAGCTCTATCTCTTCTCTCATCGGTTCATCTCACTTAGTCCCACCATCCCCATTCAGTCCTATGACAGTGCTGATCTTCACCCTGCCTTAGTCTTTCCCTCTGCCTGGGGTGCTTCTCCCAGATCTTCACTTGGCTGCCTCCAGCTCCAACCAGAGGCCTTCTCTGACCACCTTTGTTGGAGTTCCCTCAACACTATATGAAATCACCAAGATTTCTTCTATACACTTATCAGTATCTAAAATGATTTTACTTGTATCTTATTTATAGGTTTTATTAGATGTCCATTGTCTGTCTTTCCTCACTGGGATGTAAGCTCCATGAGAAAGGGGAAGGACTTTCCTTCCCTCCTCACTGTATCCCATACAATGGGTTATATATAGTATGACTTCACTAAGTCTTTCTTAGGTAACAGGAAGAATGAAAAGAATTAATTCAAAATGAACCTAAATCTAAGAGCTAAACCTTAAAATTCTTAGAAGAAAATAGGGGAAAATCTTCATACATTGGATTTGGCTATGATTTCTTGGATGACCCCAAAAGCATAGGCAACAAAAGAAAAAGCAGATAAATTGGACTACATCAAAATTAAAAACTTTTATGCATCAGAAGACACTATCAAAAGAATGAAAAGATAACTAATAGAATGGGAAAAATATTTGTAAGTCAGATATCTGATAGGGGATTAATATCCAGAATATACAAATAATTGCTACAACTTAACAACAAAAACTCCCAGACAACCCAATTCAAAAATAGGCAAAGGATCCCTGGCCAGTGTGGCTCAGTTGGTTGGAGTGGTCCCATGCACCCAAGGTTTGCGGGTTTGATCACCAGTCAGGCATATATGGGAGGCAACTGATCTCTATTTCTCTCTCCTTCTCACTTTCTCTCTCTCTAGAATCAATGTAAGCATGTCCTTGGGTGAGGATTAAAAAAAAAAAAAAGGCAGTCTGGCCAGCGTGGCTCAATGTTCGAGCGTCGACCTATGCATTAGGAGGTCATGGTTCGATTTTCGGTAGGATCACATGACCAGGTTGCAGGCTCGATCCCCAGTGTGGGGCATGCAGGAGGCAGCTGATCAATGAGTCTCTCTCATCATTGATGTTTCTATCTCTTTCTCCCTTCCTCTCTAAAATCAATAAAAAATATTTTTAAAAAAGGAAGGAAAAAAAATAGGCAAAGAACTTGACTAGACATTTCTTCAAGGAAGATAATATAAATAGGCAATAAGTTCATGGAAAAAGCTCAACATCATTAGTCATTAGGAAAATACAAGTCAGAACCACAATGAATTTCCACTCACACCCATTAGAATGGCTAATTAAAAAAAGGAAAATAACTAGTGTTTAAAAGTGTTAGATGTGGAGAAACTGGAACCCTTGAGCATTGTTGGTGGGAATGTAAAATGGTGTAGCCACCGTGGAAAATAGCTTGGCAGTTCCTCAAAAAAATTAAACATGGAATTACCCAGATAAATTGAAGTCAGGGACTAAAACAGATACTTGTAAACCAATGTTCCTAGCAGCACCATTCACAAGAGCCGAGGTGGAATCAACCCAAATGCCTATCTGCAGATGAATGGATAAGCAAGATACGGTATAGCCACACAATGGGATATTAGTCAGCTACAAAAAGGAATGAAGTTCTAAAACATTGAAGACATCATGCTAAGTGAACTAGGCAAAACGACAGGACAAATATTGTATAATTCCACTCACATGAAGTACCTAGAACAGGCAAATTCATAAAGATAGAAAGTAGAATAGAGGTTACCAGGGGTTGGGGGAAAGGGACAAAGGGGGCAATGGTAATATTATTTACCATTACACAATAGAGCAGAACTTCTATTTGGGATGATTAAACTGTTCTGGAAATGGACAGTGATGATTGTTGCACAAGATTGTAAAAGTACTGAATGGCACTAAATTGTATATTTAAAAATGGTTAAAGTAGTTAATTTTGTTAGGTATATTTTACCATAATTAAAAAATTAATTTAAAAAAAAAGGAAGGATGGATGGACAGATGGGAGAAGAATGGGGGTCAATACTGATGAGTATGGATAAAGCCAAGATAAAATTGTACATCCCAGCAGATCTCCATGGTAGCTCTTCATTTGCATTGAAACTCTGTAGCAAGGTCCAGAGACTTGGTCATGGTGACCTATGGATGCCTTTGTGGCAGGATCAAGAAGTGAAGAACGCTGTCCCATTATTGGGTCGATAATAGAGTAAGTCTTATTGGATGAGCTAAAAGGCCTTTAAAATGATCTTGTTTATCTTTGGTGAAGTAGTTCAGGACTCTCAGAAGTATTTCAGGCCAAGCTGAGCTGATTTCAGATTTCTAATCCCCCAAGGACTGGTTAAATGGGGGCAAGGACATAACGTTTGTGATATATCCCCACACACATCATCGATGCCATATAAAAGCTAAATTCTCAGAATTAAGATGTGTTCTGCAATGTGCTATTATTTATAGACATGTAAGACCGAAGGACAACTGATTAACATGGGCACTGAAATAAATCCATACTACTTTTAGCACATTCATAAAATAACAACATTTCAGCTGGCCTGTCTGCCAGGGAGTGGAAGTGCTCATTTTGGTAGACAGCTCTCCTCAGTAATGAAATGTTTTGATTTGAAATGTAAATGTTTCTTTCCAGAAGTTTCAGAAATCCAGCTTGGAAGATTAATTTATTCTTGCCCACTCCCCTTGCAGCCTGGCTATGGCGGTTGGAAGCCTCTGCACACAGGGCTGCTCTTTGCCGCTGCCAGTATGAGCTGCGGTGTTTGGTCAAGAATACTGGCCTGGTTGTTCCTTCCAGAGAAAAACGATCCCTCGTTGCTGAACATAAAAGGAGCTTTATCAAATGCTGACTCCATGAAATAACCTTTTCTGCAGGAACCACTATATCCCCTTCACTACCTTAAATCCTGTGATACTAATAAGTGAAGATTAGTGTGCCCCATGTGTAAAATCTGAAGTTGCCACAGTATTCCTGTAAAGTGTTTACTGTTGCCAAACAAACAAAAAAAACCCATAGTTCTTCATTTGCAAGATAAGTTTATTTCTAAGATTCCTTCTAAAGTCCTGTGAACATCTCTCTCTTTATATCTATTTACATACCTATCTCTATCTCTATCTCTATCTCTCTCTCTATATTATATATATATGACTCCAAATGTGATAGTTAATTTATTTTATTACTTTTAAAAAATATATTTTTATTGATTTCAGAGAGGAAGGGAGAGGGGGAAAGAGAGATAGAAACATCAATGATGAGAGAGAATCATTGATCAGCTGCCTCCTGCACACCCCACACTGGGGATCGAGCCTGAAACCTGGGCATGTGTCCTGACCTGGTTCATAGGTCAACACTCAACCACTGAGCCACACCAGCCAGGCTGACAGTTCATTTAAATAAACAATGTTTCTAACATGATCGAAAGAGAAAAAGGCAGCATACATGTTGGGGCTGCTTTATGAATACAGCCTGAGGGAATCCTACTTTATGGACATGACTTGTATGCCAAAGATTCCATTTACCTTGCATCTTTTGTGGAACAAAAAAATTAGTTTTGTCTAATTAAAGTTTTTAAAAAATATATATTTTATTGATTTTTTACAGAGAGAAAGGGAGAGGGATAGAGAGTTAGAAACATCGATGAGAGAGAAACATCGATCAGCTGCCTCCTGCACACCTCCTACTGGGGATGTGCCCGCAACCAAGGTACATGCCCTTGACTGGAATTGAACCTGGGATCCTTCAGTCCGCAGGCCGACGCTCTATCCACTGAGCCAAACCAGTCAGGGCTAATTAAAGTTTTGCTATCTGTACTTCCCAGTACGATATGTATGCTGAGGCATTCAGAAGAATACCTAATTAACTTGCTATTTTAGTGGATGGACTCAAATGTTAATCTGGAACAGCTTCTGAAAGCGGAAGTCTGAGCAAGGTAGAATTAAAACAGGGAACACTTGCCAATGTGTCCTGATGCCTGGAAGATGCATTGCCACCAGCAATTAAATGGCCAATAATATCATACAGTTCCATCGGAAAATTAGGAGTACCACCCATAGAGGTTGACTAACACATATTACCAAACACTTTCCTGGGCTATGGAAGCAGAACTTTTCAGAAGACCCCCTGCAGAATGGACACTATCACTGGAATTATATTATAAGAGCCAGAACTACATCAAAATCCTAATAACCATTTGGTCCCTGGTGTCCCTGGACAATTGCTCATTGTCATTGGTTGATTCCTATTCAATCTAAGGAAATTTCTCAAAAAGTTACCACCATTCAGCCATTAAGCTCACCTGGTATAGGAGGAAAGGGTTGCATGTATGTGTTCATTTAACATGTTTACTGGCCCATGCTAGATGCAATAGAGGATGGATGACCAAAACAGACAGGTTCCAGGCTTTATGGAACCTGCAGTCTAGTAGATTTGGATAAAATAATTGGGATGATCATATTTTTTGGCCATTTAGTCCCTGGGATTGTGGGTTAGAACCAAGAGTTTGTGTTAGCCTGGGAGCTTTGCTACACTATGAGACTCCTCTTTTCTCATTCATTTATCTTTTTAGATACAATAGAGTCCACCGATTCCCAGTCTATATCGGGGAAACTGGTGTTCCATGGGCCATGTTTGCTTTGTACATTGGGACATGAGGGAATTCAATACAAACACCCAGACTGTGGATTTTTCTTGAAAACTGGAAGGTCTACCAACACTGGGATCTGAATTTCTACTTGGATATACTAAACTGTAGCTGAAAATAAGCCATGAGTTTTCCAGTTCACCAAAGTCCCCACCACTTGCCATTGCCTTAAATTACTTTGTTCACTGTTGCTACCTTCCTGGCTCCTGTGGATATGAATGAACCCATACAAATATTATCTTAGATGAGCTGGGGGCTTCAACTTTCTAAGCATTTGCTAAGTGGGGAAGAAGCTAGTGTGAGGCTCTTGCTTAACGGGAGTGGGGTGAGCAGGATGCTGTGTGAGGGGATATTCCAGTTAACTCTGTTCCCATTTCAGGGATAGAGCCATGAACACCTTTGGGCAGACATGCCTTATCTTCATGTCCTCACAGTGTTCAAGTGCTCCTGGCTTTCCCATTTTGGACGGGAGGACTAAGTGAGCACTCAGCATGGGGAGCACAGTGTGCTGCACAAACTGAGCACTCCAGCTCTCTGTTTTATGGTATTGGCTTGTTAGGATCTGATGCCATAGCACAGGGGTATCGGGGTATCTGATCCAAATGGAAGAGAGGTCCATGGGGGTTGAATTCTCTTCATGTGAACCTTGGGAGGGGAAACTCTACATCTATTACAATCTTTCTACCAAATGAAGGATAGCAGTTCAGTTTAAATTCTTTACCAACATTTAAATAAATATGACGCTGATATGCGTATGACATATTTTATATGTTTATGTATAAAATATATAATCCCCCAAATATATAAAACAGTGATTTTGTAGTAGTCTTAATTTAAAGGCCATGTCTATTCTACACAAAATGGTAGGAATCTGTAATTCTTTATAATGGAAAACGGTATTAGTGGCTCTTTAGTAACAGCTTCGTATAGTTTTATAGGGGACTCTTAAAAGAGCAGAAATGGAGAAAAGGGGAATTTTGCCATACCTCGATGTAAATGTGGTTGTTTTTGCCTTGAATTTTTATAAAGGCTCCTTTCAGTTCCATCATAAAAGTTTCACACATGCCCCAGTTTTATGGAAGAATATAAAGGTGAGGGAGCCTTGGCCCCATGGGAGGGGGGGAGGGGTGGGGGTAGAAGGGGAGAGCCGCCATCTGGTGGAGGAGACCTGGGAGCCGCTGGAGGACCCCTGAGTCTTTATCTCCCACAACGTGCCCCAGGTGGGAGCCTGTCTTTCCTGCAGCAGCTAGAAGGGAGTGAGGTGCTCTGCATCTCTTACCTGGGGCAGCGTTCCTTTCACTAATGCGGGGATGTCAGCCTTGGAGTAGCCAATGGCAGCTAGGCCATCATCCACATCCAGATCGAGTAGGAGTTTCCGGAGTGCGTCTGCCAAAACGGGCCCAGCATCTGCCATCCTGGCAGTGCGGGTGTCGGCTCCTGGAAGACACAAAGCGCTGACTGTAGACAGAGAGGAGGAAGCTGGCCCTGGGTGCAATTCAGTCACACGATAGCTGATACATAACCTACTGCTGGCTCCCTGACACGGAGGACAAGGGCACCAATGTGCCTCCGCATGGAGGCCGGCCCAGCGCGCAGCCCCACAGAAGACAGATGGGCCAGGCCAGTGCGGAGGAGTCCATTGGGGCGGTTAACCGGGCTCTCACCTTTCCAATGGGCTCCTCGCCCCTTGTGTGGGGAGGGAAGACAAGGAACAGAGCCAAGAAAAGAGGCCCAGGAAGGAGACCGAGAAAGAAGGCTGGTGTTTGGATGAAGAAGAAGGAGCATTTGTGGCAGAAAACACAGCTTATGTAACTTTCAAGGCCTGGAATTTGCTGACATCTAGAGGTATTACATGTTCAATGTCTTTTCTCATAGCAACCTTTAGGGAAGAGACAAACCCTTTGCAAAAACACTGTGAGACAAGGATCTATGTAAGTACAAAAACGCCAACACTGACTGCCAGAAAGGAAGTAGATGACAAAAGTGGATTATGTGTGGCCAGGGAAGGAAAGTATTTCCTCTCTATATCTATAGAAAGTTTTTATTTTGGACTCTGTTACCAATGGGCAAAGCAGGTTCCTCTACATATTGCAGAACTAGTCAGACAGAACCAAGAACATGAAGACTCTCAGCAAACAGTTTTTAACATGTAGATGGTGATGTTGGTGGAGGGGGAAGAAGGTTGACAAGCGTTGGAGATGTAAGAGGGCAGAACTTGGACATAATGAATAATTAATACACAAAACTATAGAGACATCAGTCTGGAAGAGCCAGGGGGCTCTGCCCTTAGGAAGGGTGGTGGTGAAAGCTCCCAGATGAAGGAACCTGATCCCCAAACCTTAGCACCCCTGACTCCCTCTATTCCAGGTGAACACAGTCACTGCCTGGAAGTGAAGCACTTTACAAATGGAATGTAGCCTTAGTTATTATCCAGGATGCCTCAAGCTGTCGTCCAAGTCCACTTTCTCCGTATTGTTCAAAAGGAGACTGGAATGTATGTTTCACCCCCATACTGAAGCACATTATTAAACCAATCTTAACCTCTCTCTCCTAGGACAATGAGAACTGGTTTAGTAATCCTGGAAAAGGATAAGTTGAACCAGATACGGGGCTGGTTGGTGGAGCAGCTGGGCAGGAAGGTAAACCTTGCCTGACAAGACCAGTGTATATTACACAGCAGCAGCTAAAATATGGAGTAGGTGGAGAGGCAACATACGATACGAGGTTTATGAGATCTTTATTTTCTTGGGATTGCTGCCATAAAACACACCACCAAAACCTCTGGGTTTTTCTGTGAAGTGTTCTAGAAAAAAAGCGAGGGTAGGAAAGTGAATACATTGGTATAAAACTAAGAAAACCTGAGATTACTTAGGGAATCAAAATATTAATGGCCACGTATAGAATAATATCAATCAAAATTTCCGATGCAACGAGAAAAAAACTGGTGGGTTCTCCCGGCCTGGGTTTTGTCTAACAGAGGAATCGCTTTCTCAGTAATTTTGGTGGTTGCCTGGAATGTTAGCTGTAAGTTCTCTAAGATTTTCCCATTTATCATCCATGTACTATGTGGGATCCTGTCTGTTTACACTGCTTGCATATTTCCAAAGGCATCTAAGTCCCAACAAATGGCTGAACAACATCCCTAGTCCCAAAGGGAAAAGGAACACGAGATCCTTGGTAAAGGTGGCATCACATTTCCGACAGCACATGCTGGAAAACCAAGCCCTGGACTTCTTTCCTGAACATGCCGGAAGCACAAATGTCAGAGTGAGAGAGGAGTGAGAGTGAAGAGGCCCCGCAGAAGGATGTCTGTGGTCATTCCCACCTTCTTGGAAATAATCTCTCCAACGGCTGGTGCTAGAGGAGTATAATGAAGTTTTCTTTTAGACTTTCCCTTCCTACCCTAAACACAAGTAGGGGAATAAGATGTTTGGACAGTTAATCAAATACTCAAGTATACTTAAAAGACCTTTTTGTCTTAGAAAAATACCAAAATTTTACTAAACTAAGCTATCCTGAATATAATTTTATTTCTTGTAAGATTCAAAAGGCACTGCTGGAAATTTATTACAGACATTACTCTACAGAGCAGCAAAAATATTCGCCTTTGGGGATCTTTTTATACAGTTTCTAGTTGTTTAGACTCTCTATAATTGGGAATTAGATTCATTTTATTACCTGTTAAACACACCAAAATCATTTACCACATTTGTAGTATGTAAAGACTTTCACTTTCATTGGGGATGAAAACTGGAAATATGATTACTTCAAACTTAACATAAGCAATATTTGGTTCCATTTCACTGTTACCAGAATATTAGAACATACAATTATAAAATTTTAGCACTAAATTGTCACATTACTAAACTACCTCAAAGCAACATTTTTTTTTTAGTATTATCCTTTATGGTTTATCTTCGGAATCAAACCTAGGAAGTGCTCCACCTATGTGGGTCACAGGATTACAAGTAATGATTCGTACCCAATATTTCTGCCGTCTCCAGGTGCCGCTCAGGGAACATCTGGGCTGTGAAAGTGAACACCGCTGGGGAGGTGAGCACCACAGAAAGGCCATGAGGCTGTGGAGAAACAAAACATGGTGACTGATGGGCAAAACTGGCCTCCAACCTGCATGTTCTAGATATTAAATTACCCTGTACTCCGAGCAATCAAGAATTGACAAATACATTTAAAGCAATTGCAAGGAATATAAGACTTAATTAAAAAATGTATTATGATTTTACCACCAATGGGTGATCCACATTATACTCCTTTGCTTTATATGTCTTCACTAAGCCTGAAATCGGGTAAGACATTCCATGGCTAGAAAAGAAAGGAAGCCTTTATGTTGACATAAAGATATCAGAAATTCAAGATAATAGAAAGATACTCACTCTTATGGGAGAGCTCTTCACAGTCTCTAGACAATACCTTTATCTCACAAAGTTATCCACTTCGTTTTCCTTGCGATAAAAAATACTGTTACGCACTCGATATTTGGTGTTATTCATATTAAAACCTCTGAAATATTCAAATTCAAATGCTCATAAAATTGTATACCATTAAAACGTGTTAATTCAGAAGATTCTCCCCAAATACATTGGTTAACCGTATAATCTTGAAGAAATTGAGAATTCACTTTGAAGTTTCTTTAATACATTTCAGGGCATGCGTTTTTTATCTTGCTCTGCAATATTTTGGCAGCGTGTCCCTGCACAAGCTAACCATGTCAGTGGGAGATTTATAAACCAAGATGTGATACATTAGACATGCAAGTTCGACCCGTCAGTGATCTGTCCCACCAATGATCAATACATCCTTTAGAATGTTACATACTAATGGAGTTGAATCATAAATGATTATTCTAGTCTGAAAGACTTTCAAGAAACAGCACCATGATTTTTATTTATGGGAATATTTGAGGGTGGGGGAATGGAAAAACTATTTATATCCTCTTGAATTCTTTTTTTTTAAAATATATATTTTATTGATTTTTTACAGAGAGGAAGGGAGAGAGATAGAGAGTTAGAAACATCGATGAGAGAGAAACATCGATCAGCTGCCTCCTGCACACCCCAAACTGGGGATGTGCCCGCAACCAAGGTACATGCCCTTGACCGGAATCAAACCTGGGACCTTTCAGTCCGCAGGCCGACGCTCCATCCACTGAGCCAAACCGGTTTTGGCGATATCCTCTTGAATTCTTAATGAATAGGATAATATTATATTTTAATAGATGATTCAGGAGATATACATTGTTAGAAGTAGGTATCGTTACAATTAACGTATTAAAAATAAAATATTTTATAATAGTAAAATGGCCTGTAAGTCTATTGATATGGGTTATATTGGATGGCTTTGTGCTTATTCACCAAAAAATTTACATTTCATAGAAAGATGAAATATTTGGTGAAGTGTATGATAATCTATCAAAAAAAAGGGGTGGGGGTGGGCCCTAGCCTACCATCTTTCATGAGACAGATCGAAGGCTATGGGTCCTCTGAGTTGTTTGGTATTTTGGAATATGTTTTAAATTTCTCAGGCTCCAAAGTATTCAGAAAATTATTTCCCAGTGTGCCTTCATGATGTGAAAGGGTTCATGTAGCTTTCAAGGGCACCTTTCTAATTATAGCCAATATTTTAGTTAATTTTTAAATTTTAAGTTGTATATGTTCTTTGTAAAAAATTAAAAGAATCCATAATTCTATTTCTTCAAGATAACCATGATTGAATATTTCCTTCTAGTCTTTTTATGCATGTCTTTAATATATGATCATACTCTGCATTCAGTTTTAAACAATGCTTTTGTTACTTAATATTCTTTGTAAACATTTTCCCATATCATTTTTTATTCTTCTAAGACATTATTTTTAATATTTATTTTATTCTTTGAGTACTGCACTTTGGTCAACCATTCCTAATTTGTTGGAAATTTAGGTTGCTCCACATTTTTCAATTATAAATAACACTTAGGTGATTAGCCTTATTAGGAAATTCTTTGATCATATGGTATTTTTTAAGGCTACATTCTAGAAGTAAAATTAGTGGGACAAAAGGTAAACACATTTTTCAAACTCTGGGGAGATTTTGCTCACTTGCTCTTTAGAAAGGCAGTGACAATCTGTGCTCCTCTCAGCAGCAGAGTTTGGGGGAGACCATTTATTTTATTGTACTCCCCCTAGCAAATTCTTAATTCTCCATGTTCACTGGTGTTCAATTTGAAGGCAATATACCAGTAAAGTTCTGATCAAACAGATTAATTCTGGGCTATTGGCAAAGACTCTGATCTCTCTTTTTGTCAGAGATTAGAAGAAAAAATTCTGCATTTGAGGTTTTAAAAATCCCCCACAACACGTGCAGAGTATGTGGAGAAATCAGAACCCTCATCCACTGCTGGTGGGAATGTAAAATGATGCAGCTGCTGTGAAAAACAGTTGGGAAGTTCCTCAAAATGTAAACAATTACCAGCAATTCCACTCCCAGGTATATATAATCAACAGAAATGAAAAATGTTCATGGCAGCATTATTCACAATAGCCAAAAAATGGAAACAACCCAAATGTCCATCACCTGATGAATGAATAAATAAAATGTGAAAAAGCAACACAATGGAATGTTATTTGGCAATAACACGGAATGAAGTACTGATACATGCATGCATGAACCATGGAAGCATTATGCTACGTTAAAGAAGCCAGACACAAAAGACCAGATATTATATGATCCTATTTGTATGAAATGCCCAGAATAGGCAAATCTATATAGAGAAAGTAGATTAGTAGTTGCTAATTTACTGGGGGTATAGGAGGATTGGCAGGTGAAGGCTAAGAGGTATAAAATTTCTTTTTTTGGGTGATAAAATGTCCTAAAACTGACTGTGGTAATGGTAACTGTGAATATACTAAAAACCACTGAATTGCACATTTAAAATAGGTGAATTATATAATGTGTGAATTATATCTCAAGAAATTGTTACCAAAAAAAAAAATCTGTGACCCAATAAATTACATTTGAATTAAGAAAACATTCCAGGACCCTAAGTTAAATATCTTCTTTCTATAACATATTTAAGTATCACCACCTGTCCTAAGTTATAAACATTTTAAAAATTTAAGAGCAGCAGCTTAGGTGAAGAAATAAAATCTCCAATTCGCTCACCACAGATGAACACCAGCATTTCCAAAGCCAATGCCAGCAAAAGCACTTGCCAAGTGCATACTGGACCTTGCTTCAAGATCATCGGGATTTCTGACAGCCCTGTGGATGATATAAATTCCTAACAATAACATATCAGCATTGGCATTTCCTACTGCATAAAGAGCCGCCTGAGGGAAAGAGCTGGAAAAAAAGAAATGGTACTTGCTAGGAAGAAAAATTAGGCAAGTTATTCACATGACATCTTGTCTTCTAAAGGAAAGCTGAGGGTAAACATATTCTCTCATCAATGGTTTCAGCAGAGGCATAATAAATACGCTGTCAGGCTGCTCATGTGATAAAAGTGCCAGGGGAGGCAGCGCACTGACCCTTGGATTGTGAGAGCTGCTCTAGCCAAGTGCCCTGAGACTCATTCTTCTTCTTCATTTGTCAATGACCTTGACTGCAGCTATGAATGGGCTTAGAGTAAACACACACTCGGAGTGCACAGGGCCCAGACGGGTTCCCTGCAGTGAGTCCTTGTCGCCTGGGGCTACCTGCAGCCCGCCCAGCCATCTTTCTTCCTGTGACACTGCCCCGATTGGACCCACTGGAGACCTCTTTTGTTATCTGTAGAAACTGCACATGTTATTTTAATATTTGTTATTGTGGAAGTGGGATGTTATTGTAGGACAAGCTTTTGCTGGCTCTATTTGTCCCCGGTGCCACTTTGGAAAAGCAAATTCTCAAAGGCCCCTTTCAGATGCAGCTCGCTGCTTATCCTGGGGATGAAGCCTGAGACTGCCAAGCGAACCACTTCCCACTTGCTTTTTTTGCGATTTTTCCTGGAGTTAAGGGTTCCTGTTATGAAATAAGAGTGCCACGGCGTTTCCCCCGCTTTCATTTGCAATGGTTGGGCGTTTGAGTCTCCTTTCCAAAACCCAGTTGTTCGCTCTGTGTCCCCCGAATAACAAGGTAAAATAGTAAATGATGGCGCTTCAGCCTTTCCTCTGTCCGTTTCACCCCCTCACCTCCCACTGCTGCTCCTGCCTTCCGCTCCTGCCCAAACACACGGCTGACAGTTATCTGTATGCTTCTGTGCTTCCCGATAGTCCCTGGGCCTGAAATAGTTCTGTGTCCCATCCCCGGCTCAGTCACCTCTCCAGAGCAGCTTCCAGCTCAGGGCCAGAGGAGGCACCGTGCTCACATCTAGGCCTAAACTGCTGTGTGCTTTCCCTCCCTTATGCATAAGTACACAAGTGAGTCTGACTTTGCAGATGTCTTCATGTCTCCGAGATCAGCTTTCATCTCTAAGTATATATTTGCTCTCCCAGGAGCATATTATGGCTATGTCATTCATAAATCTTTCATAACCTTTTAGGAAGCATTTTGTGTCTCCTGGGACAGACAACTCCACACATTTAATGCTTCTATTTAGCTCCTCCGAGTGTGCTCACTGGGCTGATTCCGTGTGCCTTTGCCCAGGGCCCCAATGGGCACAGCCAACATCTGCCTCTGTGGTTCTCTTGTCTGGCATTGGTAGCCAAATCTCAAAGGACATTTCTCCTCATCCTAGCTTAGGTTTTGAGGCATCAATGAATAAACCTTGTAGCTGCATCTTTCATAAATTAGGGACTCCTATTTTGCCCTTTTCAGACTGAAGGACCCAGTTTTCAGCTGTCTTCACATGTGCGCCCCTCCCCTTCTCCTCCCCCCCCGCACCCCCTCCAATTCCTCTCATCTTCCCAGAAGCTTTCTGAGGCTTCTCTACGTCCACTGACTGACCTTTTGGTGAACAGACTTAGGACATGTCAGGATCTGGCATGCTACATTTTACATGAGGGTGGAATGTGGTTTTTCTGTTCTATTTCTATTCCCTCTGGGTGGCATACCTCTTCAGATACTTAGCGACGATCCGCAGTGCGTGGACTGCCCAAATGTCACTGATTGGGTTGCTGCCCTGGTAGGCTGGCCGGGAGATGGGATTTGAAGGGCAGGGACTCCGCTTGTGGTAGGGAAGGGCAGTGTAGGACTCCAGGGCATGGCTAACAAGAAATATTTAAAATACACAGATTGAAAACATGGTCTTCCTTCCCCCCTCCATTATGATTACAAACTGTCTTGGAAATGTACTCACCCCACTGTGGATATGCTATGTGGTACTGATAACCACAATGCATTTCACTAGTCAGCCCTACAAAGTCCTAACAAGGGGAATTGCCTCTAAGGTTGAATTCATGGGTGTGTCCATCTTCAGAACTGGCCACTGGGCCCCAGGGGCAGATTCCTCAGAGGAGGTGTCCTCTTCCTTGGAAAATACTTAGAAGGGCAACTACCATCATTCTTTCTTCTGAACTCCCTCCCCCCGCTTGTGATTGACAGTGAAGTCTTTGGGCCTATGAGTTCTTCACTTAAAGGTGACTGCTTTGGCCCATTATAAATTTATTATGTAGCTTCCGGTTAGGGAGGGTAATCTTATTTCCAAGTTATTAGGGGATGACTCTTAAAAATACTGACAACTTTGACCAGGAGGAGTTGAACACAATTTTCTCCAGTTTTTTGGTAGGCAGTGTAATGTAGTGAAAAAAGCAGGCCATGGATTTGGAGACCTGGATTTGAATCCTTACTCTGTTGCCTCCTGCTTGTGTGAACTTCAATAGCTATCAATTGAGTACCTATGGAGTGACAGTTGGTTTGCAAGGGGCAGGGGCAGATAAGTGAGTAAGATGGTTCTGCCCTCACCAGGCTCACACTGCACTGAGGGAGACAGGCATGTGAAGAGAGGGGTGTGTCAGAAGCAATGTACAGGCCCCCCAGTGGGGGAGAGCAAAGGACAAAGTGGTCAGTTGTACTTGAGAGGGAAGGTGAGGGTCAGAAAAGGTTCCATCAGGGAGAGAACGCTCCAGTGGAATTGAAAGATGAGTTATCCAAACAGATAAAGAGCAGAGCATTGGGAACATTCCAGGGCCAAAGGAATTTGGACATTGGATAGCAGGGGTTGAAAGACTTGTAAGGTAGAGGGGTGTGTGTGTGTGTGTGTGTGTGTGTGTGTGTATTGATTCTGCATGCTTGGTGAGGCCAGCATGGAAGACAGGAGGAAGGACTATGGGATGGAAACAGGCTGACTGATGAGGAGACTACTGCAACCGTTCAGGCAAGAGCTGGGGTAGGCCTAAACCAAGGCAGGAGCAATGAGGCCTGAGAGGAGGGAGCATATCTAAGAGAAATTCTGCTGGCTAGTGTGGGCATTAGAGAAAGAAGATGTCCATACTGAATCCTGATGCTCACTACGTTAAGGGACTCAGGAGAAGCCATGGGGCATGTTGGGTGGGAGGCGGGGAGGACAGGGAGGACTTATTGGAAATTAAAAGAATTATCAGATTTTATCAAATTTCCATTTAAAAACGGTACCTGCCATGCTACAGATTTTAAAATATTTTCTGATTTTACCACTGAGGAAGAAAATGATACTGCCATGCTACAGATTTTAAAATATGTTCTGATTTGAGATGTTAGAATATGAAAAAAATGTGTGTGTGAAAATGGATGAAATAGGGTAATTTGGGACATGCTGAATGTGAAGTGCCCATGGGACCTCCATGAAGCCACTGGAATGAATGGCCTGGAGCTCAGAAGCGAGGTCTATGGTAGAAGCCACTGATTAGGAAGCCATCGCACACGGAGCTGAAGCCCAGGGAGCCCGTGGTAGACTATGCGTAAGTTACTAAACATCTCAAAGGGAGTTCTCACCTGGCACAGAGCTGTGGTGAAGTGATATGTGTATAAAGTGCTGACACAGTGTGCACGATCCAGCTCGGGGGATGTAAGCTCCCCTCCCTGTCTTCTTCCGTGTTGTGGCAGCCCTGGGCACTCCCTGGTTAGTGTAGCCACAAGGCATACCAGCTCCGGCTGCTCCTTTTGCCATGTCCCTGTGGCTACAGCTGTGGCTGGGATGGTCCATCCTGAATGGCAGGTTTCTGGCTCACCAAGGGCCTCACTTATTCACTAACCTACTCACTAACAGTGTCCTTGTTTTCATCTAGGAAAGGGAATGATGACAGTTCAAGCTGGGGTTGTTGTGGCGTGCTAATCAATGAATGCTTAGTAAGTAATTTCAGTAGGAAAACACTGCATTCTTTCCAGCTGGTGTCGAGCATGGGCATCTCTCAGAACCACTGGCACAAGCGCCGCAAGACCTGGGGCAAGAGAAAGCCCTACCACAAGAACTGAAAATATGAGCTGGGATATCCTGCTGTCGACACTATGACTGGCCCTTGCCATACACACCCAGTCTGTGTGCGGAGAGGCAACAAGAAGTAGGGAGCTTTGAGGCTGGACGTGAGCAACTTCTCCTGGGGCTCAGAGTATTATACGCACAAAACAAGGATTATTGATGTTGTCTAGAATGCATCCAACAATGAACTGGTCTGCACCAAGACCCTCGTAAAGAACTGTATCCTGCTCATTGTCAGCACATGGTACCCACGGTGGTACGAGTCCCACTAGGCACTGCCTCTGAGCTGCAAGAAGGGGGTCAAGCAGACTCTGAGGAGGAAGAGATTTTAAACAAAAAGCGATCAAGGAAAATTCAGAAGAAATACGATGAAAGGGAAAAGAATGCCACAATCAACAATCTTCCAGAGGAGCAATTCCGAGAGGGCAAGCTTCCTGCATGCATCACTCCAAGACCAGACGTGGCTGAGGAGATGGTTATGAATTAGAGGGCAAGGACCTGGAGTTCTAGCTGAGGAAAATCAAGGCCCAGAAAGGCAAATAAATCCCCTTCCTATCTTAGCTCATGAAATAAAGGTGCTTATTGTTCTTTAAAAAAAAAAAGAAAGAAAAAAAGAAAACAAAATACTGTCCATAGACCCAGGTACCGAAAATGCCCCTCCAGGTACCTACCAAAGCACATCGAAGCCGCTGTTGGCGACCACCTGGTCAGGCATGTGCAGGGTGTGCAGAGGGTCAATCAGTCCCAGCGTGGGTTTGATGGCTCGGGAACCAATGCCTAGGACAGGGATTTTCAATGGAGGCAATAGGCATGGACTTCATTTAAAAACATTAAATAAAGTGAGGATAACAAATTATCCTAAAATATAAAAATTATGAGGTAAGAGTCATTCTCATGTAGAGAGGCTGCAAGGAGCAGTGGAGAGAGATCTGAAGTCAGAAACCTGGGCTTGTCAGTGGAGAGGACGCTCCTTTCCGTTCACAGGAGCCAAGTATGTGTGTCTCTTCCCAAGGGCAGGTTGAGTGACATCATTGACTACGGTGGGAATATTTATACCACAGAAACTGGCAAGTGCTACAAACCAGGGCTTATTTAATTATTAAATGCCAGAGAGCTGGTTTACTAGCTCACTGCTGGTTTGGGTCTTTGCTCTGCAATTTACCCTGTGTCTTTGGGCAAGTCACTTCGTCTCCCTGAGTTCTCCATGAGATTAGACTATCCAATCACAGCGCCTCCATCCCTCACTGAGATGTTGTAAGGATCACATTAGGTAACATCATGGAAAAGTCTTTCAAAAATTGAAAGGTGGAATTTCGGTGTTGGTAACTATTATTTCTTGATGTCAAAGGATAATGTACTTTAATTTAAAAAAGAGAAGTTACTATAAATATGTGGTTGAATGTCAATTTATTCTGCTGCAAAGTCCTGAAAGAAGGATACTGAGCCAGACTCAAGTAGAGGGACATTTTTACCACCTCAGCTGAGAGTCAGAGAAGAAGATAGGCTAAAAAGGACAAAGGAAATGAAAAGCAGAACAGTGGTGATTTGGGAATGGGGCTGGAGGGGTTGATCTAGGGTGATATTTTATATCTTGATTGGGGTAGGTAGTAGTTACATGGGTGCCTATATTTGTCAAAATCCATCAAACCAGGCTCTTAAAATGTATGCATTTTATTATATAAAAATTATATCTCACCCTAGCCAGTTTGGCTCAGTGGATAGAGCATCAGCCTGTGGACTAAAGGGTCCCAGGTTTGATTCCAGTCAAGGGCACATGCCCAGGTTGCAGGCTCGATCTCCAGTAGGGAGCGTGCAGAAAGCAGGCAATCAATGATTCTCATCATTGATGTTTCTATCTCTCTCTCCCTCTACCTTCTTCTCTGAGATCAATAAAAAATATTTTTTAAAATTATATCTCAATGAAATTAATTTAAAATGCAAAAAAGATGTCCAAGAAAGGGAATAACTCTTTATCATTGACATACAGCCACTAACTTGCGCAGAGAAATAGCCAATCAAGATTCATGGCATTTCAATATATTTTCTGGGTAATTCTCACAAAGAAGTTCATTAGATTGTTTCATATTTTCACATATACTTAGAAAAAGAAAGAAAATGTGTACATGTATATACCGTTCCCTTAACTATAGCTCCTTGATTGTTAAAGGATTAAGTAAAAGGGGCTAGTTTGAAAGGTAAAATAACTTAACAAGTTAAGAGCAAAGTTCTTACCAATTTTTACTTTCAAAGGCTCATAGTCAAAAATGGCAACTCCGGTAGTTTCACTCCCAGTTCCTGAAGTAGTTGGGACTTGAACAAAATAATATGAATATCAATAAAGCATCTACGTAAAGGTCAGTGGCGACACTTAATTCAGCCTTAGGATATAAGGAACTAAGTTAGAAGGAAGCTTTGCTGCCCCCACTGCTTGTCTGGTGTGTGTATCTCTATTAACATGCATGTATACTTCACATGTATGTGTGTGCCTGCGTTAACATGCACGTACAATAATATGATGCCAGTGTCAGCATTAACATGCATGTTTAATGGTAAAATGTCCATTCTGTATTAACATGCATGCATGTATAACATGTGTGTGCATTTTGAAGTGGGTATGTGATATCAGTATCTGTGTTAACATGTATGGATGTTGTCCACATTTGTATTAACACCTTTGCAGGTTTAAAGTTTCTGTATGAACAGTGAGGAGCTCTGGGAACCTCAGGTTCCTCTAGTGCCAGAGCTTCAGCAGCTGCAGTTGGATATGCAAACGCAGGCTGCGGGGCATCTCTAGGAAGAAGTCTTGTATTTGCCTCTCTGAAAGATGTCTTTATTCCCTCTTGGCAGCAAGCACAGTAACGCTCTGCCTTTGCTGGGCTTGCGGTTTTGTAGTTCTGTCAAGTTTCTAAACTTTACTAATCACCCTTCTGTGTGATGCTGACACAGTTTCACCAGAGGGCTCCATTTGCCAGACATCAATTATGCTGCTCCCTGCTGATTGCTCATTCCCATCAAAACAGCTCATCTGCCATCAACTCACTCCTAATCCATCACAAGATTCACGGTAAGGGCAGAAGAAGGGAGCAGAGAGAGAACAAGATTTTAAACTGTTATTTCCAGTGACCAGTCGGTACATTTTAGCTATAAAACTTTAAACAGTAATATGCTAACAGCTATAAAATGAGAGGGAAGAAAAGTCAGAAAGATGCCAAGGCTGGTGTGACACAGACAAGCTCTGCTGATTTGGGTTTGTGTGTCTGTGCCCCGTGAGCAGATGTCTCCCAGAGCGATGCGGCCGTGCTGGCCCCATGTCCCAGGGCAGAGACAGAGCCTCAGGTCAGCTGAAGAACCATTATGTGTAGGAAAGGGTTGAGTCAATACCAGAAAAATAATAGTGAATATTCCCCTTAAATTCCACAGTGGCTGGCAAAATGGGACAAAACAGAGAGGGGTTTAGAAGACAAAGCTGCCTATAGAGGGATCTAATAATACATAAATGATGAACCTTCCCCTCTTTCACATAGTGACTTCACAGCTTAAACCTGCAAACTTTCCTACCACTGACCCAATTGTCTATATTAGAGCATAATGAAGATCAGAATTTTAAACATAAATGAATTGCTCTCTGTTTTGATTGCTAAACAAGGTAGCACACTGAAATGAAGAAATCAGAAAGTTTTGGAAACACATACCCTAAAATTCCTGGCTCAAATATTTCCTAAGGCCTTTTGCCAATTGCAAACCCAAACAAACAAACAAACAAACAAATGACAGTCTTTACCTGCAATCAGAGGCTTAAGAGGCACAGACACAGGCTTTCCCTTCCCAATGGGAGCACTGACATAATCTAGGAAGTCAGAGTGAGGGCTGGATGCATACAGATTAGCGGCTTTACAGGTGTCCATGGTGGAGCCACCACCCACAGCAACGTAGGCATCAAAAGCTCCCTTTTTGGCAAACTCAATAGCTTCCATGAAGCTGTAAGAAAGAAAAACAGAAGCCATTATGTCATATTTTTCAAACATAAACTGACATGCCACTAAGTAACTCTTGGGGCAAATTTTAAACAACAGTGGTATGTGTTGGCTTCCACTTAAAAAACAACAATGAAAAGGTACCTTCTATCGGTTGGTTCCACCCTCACATTATCATAAACCTTAAAGTTTATGCCATTCTTCACTAGAGAATCCATAACTATTCGTACAGGAGGGAGCTGGGAGAGGTTCTTGTCTGTCATCAAACAAACATTTTTAGCACCCATGTTCTGTAGGTCCTATAATAACAAAAATAATTTATAAGTTAGGTTTGATTACACTAGAAATATAACAGACACTCTGGCCAACTTAATATTAAACATTTTTATTTTAAATATATTTTTATTGATTTCAGAGAGGAAGGGAGAGGAAGAGAGATAGAAACATCAATGATGAGAGAGAATTATTGACTGGCTGCCTCCTGCACGGTCCCTACTGGGGATGGAGCCCGAAACCTGGGCATGTGCTCTGATCAGGAATTGAACCCATGACCTCTTGGTTCATAGGTCGACATTCAACCTCTGAGCCACACTGGTCAGGAAATATTAAACACTTTAAAGAACAAAGGCCTCATCTCTTGTGCATTTTCACTTGTTTTAGAAGATATGTAACCTTTACAGTAGACTCTAGAAATCTTAAATACTTGCCATTCCCACTTCCTTTGTAACTCCTGCTCCATATCTAATATTTGAAACAGCCATCTGGAAAAAAAAAAAGATTTGGGGGATGAGTTGGAGATTGGCCATTTCATTTCTAAAAGCCGGAAATGGCTCCTCATTGCCTATAAAGTATATATTCTTTATACATATGTCCAAGTCACCCCATCTGGCCTCAGACTCATCATACTTCTTTAAGCAAGCCTTGGCACTAGTCACACTGGAATTACTTATATTTTCCCAAACATCTCATGAACTCTCAATTGTTGCCTGCCTTTCCTTGCTCTACAAATAAGTTACCTCTCAAATTCCTTCTTATTTTCCAATTTAAATGCTGATTCCTCACGTATTTTTTCATCCCATACATTCATCCATCCAACCATTCATCTATCCAACTTCTTTTGCATGCACGTATCTATCCACCCATCCACCCACCCAGTCTTCCACCCAATCAATGCTACTAAGTGCCTGCTATACTCCAGGCATAGTGCTAGGCTCTGATTATACAATTAGGAACAAGAAAAATAGCTTCCTAATGTTTACAGCTAAGAGAAGAACTTTTATACTGATTGGATGATGGGTCACTATTGGCCCAAAGACATGTTTTGTTTGATCCATATTATGTTTAGATTTCTTCTGTTTTGAATTGTCTCATAACTCTTAAAAATCAGGGTAAAAATGTCCAGTGTGACTGTCTGATCTCTCTTGAATAACTTCCCAGGTGGCAGCAATGGGGTTGAGTGGAGGTTGTATCCTTCAGATGGGCCTGTGCTCCCAGAGAACTCAGCACTGTCCTCACCCAGCCTGCTCATGGACTGGTTAACCGTTAGGCCACTGGAGACATTTAATTTATGAGTCCTGAACTAGGAGGAGACAGGGACTTAGACAAGTAATTCTGTAATTACAGTGTGATAAAAATTCATCAGAATTAATTGTTCCTTTATTCTTGTGTCAAAAGATTACATGGACCCCTTTGGGGATTATACTTACAAAGCTAAAGAAGATTTAACGTACAACATATGTAAAGCAGAAAGTTGCCTAGAACTGGGAATTTGTTCTATTTCAATGGCTGTACAGAAGACAGTATCTAGACATTATTCATGTTATCAGAAGATTTATAGTCCATTATTCTAACAAGGTACTTTTCTAAATAGGGCCAGATCAAATAGTGAGATTGAGGGACATTAATTAACAGCAGATTTAAAATGAGATAATAATGCATTAGCAAAATACTCTAGTATTTTTTTTAGGTCACCCATAAAAGAAAGAATGGACTGATTATATTTACCTCAAAAGCATAATCTGTTGTTTTTCCAGAAGGTGAAAGCCCAGGAGCTAGAAATGTAAAACTTAGGATCAGAGTAGGCCTCAAAAACAAGGCAAAATATTATTTGATAGTAAATTGATATTCTAGCAGTGAACATAAGCATCTCCCCTGAAGCCTTAGCTAAAATATATTTTTCAGGTTTCATTGTTGCATATAAAATTAAAATTAAAACCTGCATTTTAAGAGAATGTAATGCCAACTTGATGCTGATGGTGTGAAAATAAAGTTACTTAAAATATTTTATCCATTGAAATGAAAATATACTTTTGAAAACATAATGTGTAAAGTTCTTCTAGAAAAAAAATCTTCTATACTCTAGAGCTGGGTTATTGTTAGAGAGCAACTATTAGTAAATTCATTAATCAGAGTCTTGCTTACATTTCTTATAGCAACTGTGACCATTTGTTTCAATTAATATTTTTCCATGGAGGTTACTTATCACAGTAAGATATTTCTATTTCTCAAGCTTGTAAGTATAAAAATTTTAGTTTTCTTTGTGAAATTTAATAAAATTTTTTATAAACTGATACTCCTTTGCAACAGTTGTAGTTAGGGAAAAAATAATTTTCTGTCATAGTGAAACCAGAGGACTCCACTAAATGAACTTTACCCTTGTTTTTATCTGCTTATTTTCAATCAGTCCTGGTTAGTCAAAAGAGTGAAAAAAAGAAAAGAGATTACAACTAGTTTCCTGAATGAAAAATCCAAAGTTCTTTGATCTCTATAGGTTTAAAAAATAATCTATTACTCTGTGACTAAAGTTTAGGAAAACACATAAATTGGATCCTATAAACAATGAAATGAACTTTCCCTAAACTACTAATTTTATTCACCCAAATAGGAAATTCCTGAATCTTTGTTGAAACCCAGTAAGAATGGGATACAACCAGCTGAAGACGAAATTCTGCACATGTTCACGAGGGCCTGAAAGGCTGGGCATGCTTTCGTTTGGTAGATGGCCGTTAGTGAATGGGAGGTCCCTTGGCTTGTCCTGAAGGGTGAGTCACTCCACGGGCAGGCAAAGCACTTAGTTTCTGTATCTGTTCCACTCCCAATGGGCTTCTCTAGGGTTTCTGCTTAGGGTCCTGTTTGGTTAGGCCCCTTCCTTTTCATCCCTTGCATAACTGTTTAAATTTGACCTTTTCTTCTAAGAGGTGAAATCAGTGTTTGTGTCATAATTCATGTGACATTCCGAGGACACGCAGAAGCTACAATGAGCTTCCTGCTGCTCCGTAGACAATGGAGTTGGTAAGGATTAAGACGTTTGTGGGAATTGAAAACTTTGGTCGTTATTTTTAATTATTAAGAAATAGAATGCTATTTTAAAAATTAATATATACAAGATTTTCCCTTCTAGGAAGCACCTTGGTCTTTAGCCCCTTTCTTTTTTTGAGATGTATTAGAAACTTCCAAAGATTTCATCTTAATGAATTCTGTTTGATGCATTCAGACAATCTTAAGATCCTATCTGTGGCATCCTTTTTAGCTTTGGCAAATAATTCTATTTAAAACAGAAATACATTAAAAATAGCATTAAATATTTATGTATATATGTATAAGTATGTTCCAAACACATAATCTGTAGCATACATTCAGCTAACATCATATAATTAGAACTACATATTGCCAATTTCAAGTGAAAAGGCAGTCATTTTCATAAATTTCCTTCTTATATCCTTTGATTTTCTTGCTTTACCCTTTGACCAAATGTATTGGAGTGCCAACTGTGGAAATGGAAAGTGTAGTTAGTTTAAAAACACAAAATATATATTATTACCTTGGGAGTAAGTATGAGAATGAGTTGGACACTGACATCTAGGGAAAAGAAAGGAAAAAGAAAAAAATGTAAAGTATAACTAGAAAACCAAAAGTAAGAAGTCTTAAAGTAATTTATTCTGCAGCCTTAGTGTTAAAATGCTAGCAAAGTAGTAGCTATTGGCAAACACTGTACATAGAAAAAAAATAGACATCACCATGGACAAAAAGTGGGCTCAGAGTCTTTCCAGTGTTGTAAGCTCGTTCTTTCTTAATAAATCCCTGCAGGAGCCGAGATGAGCACTCTGGGACACAAGTAAGTTAAAAATGGGGTCTCTGGTCTGGGTGAGGTCTCAGCTCTTACTAGGTTAGGAACTTTAACCAAATTGAGCCAGGGTAACTACTTGGGCATCTCATTCCCCCTTTCTCTGTGTTTCCCCATTGTCCTCAAGGTGTTTAATTTTTCTTCAAAAAGGTTCTGGGCCTGTTTCCCTGGCCTCCTTGGGGACCACCTCATGCCTCCATCCTTTCTCTGAGACCATGCCCAGGCTCCCTGTGCTTGTCCACTCTTGCGCTCACACCTGTCCCTCTACCCTTGCCTTCTGTATCCCTTCCCTGTCCTAGTCACCTCCTCGTTCTTGGGCAGTCCCTTCTCTGGCTTTCTTTGGTCCTGCTTTCTGTGTTTGAGTGTTGTTGAGAAAGGGTTTTATTTCTATTTATTGTCCAGGGGGCCTTGTCATAGGTTCCCTATAGATAAGTGAGTGTATGACTTCCCCCACCCCCCACTTAAACATCTGAGGGGAAAGAAGGAGAAAGAAAGAAAAGGATTGAACTCAGTGATAGTCAAGATCTCAAACACTGAGAATTGCAGTCAAAAACTACATGGGAGGCGAGTGTGCGCGCTACCGTGAATCAAGGCTGCCATCTGGTGGGCACCACTGAGCACACCAAGTGCTACGGGGTTTCCTAGAGCAAGCATGTCAAACTCAAAGGCTAACACAGGCCAAATAAACAAGGTTTAAGTTTATGTGGACCGGAAAAACCAAAAGCTTCAATTTTCATAGAAATGTAGTTTTATTTAGAAAAGTTTAGTATAAAAAAAAGAGAACAAGAGCAATGATAAAATTAATGTTTTCTTCCTGACACTTGGCATCTCTTCTCTGCTACTCTCTTTCCTAATTCGGGGGAAATCTTGTTCGCAGTGATTACTTTCAAAACTGACCCACGGTGAATGTCAGTAATTCTGGATCTGACAGACTTATTTCCTTTCATAACTGTAAATAACTGTTCCCACCGTTATATTGGCTGGGCTGCAAAAATATTCCTTGTGGGCCGCATGTGGCCCGTGGGCCGGGAGTTTGACATGCTTGTCCTAGAGCATCCCAGCTGGTCTGATCCAGCTGCAGACTCCTGCAGGAGAAATGAAAGCAGGCAAGGCCAACATGAGCTTTACACCCTCCAAGAATAGAGAGGCAAAGGGAAGAAAAAAATCAAACTCAAAGCTTTCTAATGCCCAGGATCATGGGAGCACCTGCTTCCTCCCCCACCCCCTTCTCTTTTTAGTTTATATTTTTCAGGTTCAGAGGCTACCTCAATCCATCATTTCTACTCCGTATTTGTGCTTTGAACCCCATCTCCTCTTGCTTTCTGGGGACCTCTATCTGTCCAATATTTCCTAGTCCTTCCCCTCACTCGATCCTTGTCATATCATGTTTAAGAGCTTCATGCTTAGAACTCAACCCCCTTGGCTTGCTCTGGTTCTCTGCTCCTGACCTACATCTGCTGGCACCATTTCCTTGCCTTGCACCCTGAAATCTGGCTGCTGTCTTCATAAGTTCCAGCTTTCCTGTTGCATCCTCACTTGTCTGACCTCATCCTAGCACCTTGCTCTCATAGCACGGAACACTGTGGGCCACCCCTCCCTAGGAGGCTGAAACGCTCTTCTTGGCTTCCAGACTCCCTCCTCACCTCTAATTATTCTGCCCCTGGCTTCTTTTCCACTCTGCCCATTGCTTAAAGGTTGGCTTCTATGCAGGGCTCACCCCTCACCTTGTATAGCCAACCACGCATCAAGCCCCCAAGTATTTCTCTAGCCAAATCCATCCACTGCTCCGGGGCCCTCTGCCACTCTCTGGTTCTAGTGTCATCTCTCATCTGGATTTACTACGACGTTCCTAACAGGCTTCTCTTCACTCGCTCTACTTTTACTACACTGTGGTCAGGGGCATATTTCCAAGGATGCTGCTCCCTTCGATGGCTCGTCATGGCTCTTAGGATAAAGTTCAGATGTGGCCCTACCTCACTGGTCCTGCTAGCCTCTCCAGCCTGGCCCCTCATCACCCTCTATCTTTGGGGTTGAGCTCTCAAAAAATTAACTTGGTTCTTTTCCTTTAATCAGCCACACACACTCTCTCTGGCCTCCAGAACTCTCTCCGTTATTTCCTCTGCCTGGAACTTACTTTCCCCCCTCTTCTGGGTAACTAGTGTTCTTTCTCAGGTCAATTCAGATGTCAATTTCCCTGGGCAGAGGCCTCCTGGTAGACACCCTCTCTCTGTGATCCCTGGTACTGCACCTCCCTTCCCATTAAAACTGTTACCACACTGTGTTGTTGGTACCCTTTTCCTGGTGGCATTTGCCTTGAGAAGGTAAATTTTGTGATAACAAGGCAAGAGCTACCCTTTTTCATAACTTTATTTGCAGTGGCTCGCATAGTGCTCTTTTCTCCTATGCTTACAGTTTGCCAAGGCCTTGCTTCCCCACTCAAGGATGAATTCTCAACTTGCTCCTGAAATCCAGAAAAATATATTCAAGTCCCTGCTGGGGGGTCTTCATCTGGACGTACCCGAGGCATGTCCAACTCAAAATGCCCAAGTCTCAGGTCATCATCTTCCTCCCAAAGCAAACCCTCTTCCAGGACCTATCTTGGTAAATGGCCCCACTGCTTACCTGATGCCCCAGCCAGAAACCTCGATTTCTTCCTTGTTTCACTAAAAATAAACAAAATCTTGCTGATTCTAACCAACTCCTCAGTATTTCTCCTATCTACCCCTTGTACCAGCTGCCTTCCCTGGGTGTCTGAAGCCATCACCTTTCAGCTGGAGCACTACGATTACCTCTAGTGTTTCTTCCCCACTCTGCACTGCCGCCCGAAAGCTCTCACACAATTCTAATTATGCCACACTCCTTTGCCATGCAACCACTCTACCTACATGTTCTACATGACACTGGTTCCAAGGAATGGTGTTGCTGGATAAAAAGTTCTATGCTGACACAGGTTTAGAATCAAGAGTTTAAATACAGCTAACCCACTGCCCCCCCCCCCCCACCTTTTGCAGGACTTCTCAGAGCCCTTTCATGTGCAGACATGCATCCAGACTCTACAAGAGAGCTATGCAGCAGCGAGCAGTTTCCCAAATCTATGTGGCCATGTACTTCTTTCTTCGTGGAGCATTTCAAGGTGCAGCTTCACTGTGAGAATTATTGCTTCCTTAACGTTCCATTATCCACATGACACAATTCAAACGCCTTAGCAGAGGATGCGGACAAGGACTGTGAGGCCAGAATATTTGAGCTCATATTATGGCTGTGCCATTTACTTAGCTGTGGGACACTGCACAAATTCTCTCTCATCGATGTTTCTAACTCTCTATCTCTCTCCCTTCCTCTCTGTAAAAAATCAATAAAATATATTTAAAAAAAAAAAAAAAAATTAATAATACGTGTAAAATGTGCAGGATAGTGCCTGGCACGTGGTAAGTGCCCAATACATTCTATTTTCTATTCGTGGTCTTTTAGCATCTGTCTTCTCCATCCTCACTTCCTCCCATGAAGGGAGATCTAGATTTTCTACATTTCTTATCTCTGGCACTGCTCTCCTTTTACCTGAAATTCCTCTTTAGTCCCCCTCCCTCCTTATTTATCTCCACCTCTTTGCTTTAAAATTTCCATGTTTTTCCTGGCCCACTATTCAAAATACTTGCACATTTAACACGTATTTTATCAGGTGGCTGCTATGTACCCCACATTTCCTTAATGGAGAGAGAGTCAGGCATGTCAAAGCATTTAACGTACTGACATCAAGTCCATCTTTCCCTTCTATATCCTATCGGCTGCATTCCGCACAGGCCCCTTTTACAAACCTTGTCCCTGTATCCAATATCCTACTAGACTTTAAACTGCTCCAGAATCTTCCATCTTTGTGTCCCCAGCTCCTAGAACAACTTTTGGCACATCACATGCACCCAGTATAAATGTACTGACTGGATACAAGCATTTGTCTCGGTCACTGTGCCTTGCCCTCCACTGCCTGGCACGACGTGGGACCAGGCGCTGTTGTCTCTGGGTCTTAGTTTCCTGAACGGCACACAGAACAGGGTAAAACCCGCCTCCCAGCGCGGGGTGCGGACGCGGGGCACAATCTGACTGCGCAGTCCCACCGGGCGCACCGTGGGCGCGCCCTGCGGAAGCCCCTTCCCCGGCTCCTGAAAGTGACCCGAGGACGAATGCGCAGGGCGGGGCGGATCACACCCAGGGGGCTGCGTGGGCACGGCGGCACCCTGGCACCCTCGGGTCCCTG